TCCATATTCCATATCCATACTGATGCTGCCAATTGGCCCAGTGGTGAGAATCTTGGTTTTCTTGATGTTGAGTTTCAATCCATATAGGAGGCTGCAGTCCTTGACCTGAAGCAAGCACTTCAGTTCCTCCTCAGTTTCAGCAAGCAGGGTTGTGTCATCCGCATAACGCAGGTTGTTGATGATTCTTCTACCAGTCTTGATGCCACATTCCTCCTTGTACAGCCCAGCATCACGGATGATCTGTTCTGCATACAAATTGAAAAGGTATGGAGACAAAATACATCCCTGATGGACCCCCCTTCTTCATTTTGAACCATGTAAGTCTCCTTGCTCTGCTCTGACAACTGCCTCTTGGTCCAAGTATAGGTTTTGCATTAGCACAATGAAATGTTTTGGGATTCCCATCTTCTCAGAGTCAGCCATAGCTGGTCGTGATCCACACAGTCGAAAGCCTCTGCATAGTCAATGAAACACAGATAGACATTCTTCTGGTATTCTCTGCTTTCTGCCAAGATCCATCTAACATTAACTATAATATCTCTAGTACCACAGCCTCTTCTAAATCCAACCTGCACATCTGGCAGTTCTCTGTTAACATATTGTTCCAAATGTTTTTGGATAATTTTAAGGAGAATCTTGCTTGCATGTGATATTAATGATATTGTTCAATAATTTCCACACTCTGTTGGGTCGCCTTTCTTTGGAATGGGAACAAATATAGATCTCTTCTAGTCAGTTGTCCATATGGCTGTTATCCAAATTTCGTGCCACAACTTAGTGAGTACATCCAGGGCAGTGACTGTTTGTTGGAAAAAAATCGGTTGTTATACTATCAACTCCTGGAGCCTTGTTTTTTGCCAATTCCTTCAGAGCAACTTGAACTTCCTCCTTCATCACCATAGTCTCTTGTTCAAATGTTACTTCATGAAATTCCTCTGTGTCAGCCAATTCCTTCTGACTCTGTCTTTTGATACTTCTGGGTCAATTAACATTCTTCCCAAAGTTTCCTTAGGTATTATTGCCACCCATGGATTGAATTTGTTTTTCAACTCCTTCAGCTTAAGAAATGCTGAGCGAGTTCGGCCCTTTCGATTTTAACTCCAGCTCTCTGCACATTTCATTATAGTATCTTGCTTTGTCGTCCCAAGTTGCCTTTTGAAATTTTCTGTTCAGCTCTTTGATTCCTTGCTTTCTTCCTTTAGCTTTGGCTTCTCGTTACTCTAATGCAATACTCAGTCTCATCTGACATCCATCTTGCTCTTTTCTTCTTCTTCAGCCTTTGTAATGATGTTTTGCATTCTTCATAGACGATTTTCTTGATATCCTCCCAGAGCTCATTTGGTCTATGCTCATTGGTGCTCAAAGCCTCAAACCCATTCCTGAGATCGTTTTGAAATTCAAGTGAGACAGACTTAAGGTCAAATTTTAGTTTCCGTGGACTTGATTTAATTTTCCTCAACTTCAGCTTGATCTTGCATGAGTAGTTGGTGGTCTGTCCCACAGTCAGCACCCGGCCTTGTTTTCACTGCTGATACTGAGCTTCTTCAGCAAGTCTTCCCACAAATGTAATAGATTTTCACAGAAATCCTGATGGCTTGAGTCTTAGGCCATCACATCAGGGGCTGGTCAATGGGAGACGGGTGTTGAATGGTGTGGTGTAGGCAAATGTAGGAAGGGGTGGTGGTGGAGTAGGGAAAGGGTGGATCAGGAAAAAACCCAACCAGCCAACCAAACATGTAATGGGGCGGGCAGCAACATTGAATAGTGGTCATTTTTCTAACTGGTAAATGTCTTTTATTGGCTCTTTTCTGTAGACTGCTTGTCTGTAGATACTATTATATATATTTAAAAATTGAGACAGACTAGGAAGAAGGATTGGCCATCCACTTCCGAAATGACAGGCCTT